GGTTTAGGGTTTAGGGTTTAGGGTTTAGGGTTTAGGGTTTAGGTGGTCCTCCCTTCATTACAGAAAACCGCTGAACAAACCGTTAAGGCCCTTGTCGCGCCCTTAAAGGATTTTTAAGTTGAAGCCCCCTATATGGGGTTTAGGCTGTAGAGTCCTAACCCCTAAACCCTAAACCTGAACTCTTAAGGGTTTTGGGTTTAGGGTTTAAGGGTTTATTCAGTTTAAGGCTAAACCCCTTTACACCCTAAACCCCAACCCCTAAAAGGAAGCCGAGGGGCTCGTGGAAGCGCCAGGGCGCTTCGCTCTCCGCGTGACCTTCGAAGTAGAACTCGTTGGCCATGTGGTTCATCACCACCTCGGAAATCCGTTAGGGTTCGGGGTTTAGGACCCTGAACCCCTAAACCCAAGACCCAAATTCCCTAAACCCTAAACCCCCCGAGAGGGTTTAGGGGTGGTCCATCACCACCTTGGAGATCCGGAGAAGAGAAACCCCCAAACCTTAAACCCACAAAGGAAATCCAAAAAGAGAACCCTTACACCGAGGTTTAGGGTTTAGTGTTTAGGGTTGAGGGTTTAGGGTTTAGGGTTCAGGGTTGAGGGTTTAGGGTGACTTACACCCTAAACCCTGCTGAGGCTTCAGGGGTTTCATCACCACCGCGGAGATCCAAGTAGAGAACCTCTAGACCCTAAACCCTACTCAGGGTGGAGATCGAAGTAGAGAAACCCTAATTTTTCATTTTAATTCAGGGTTTTGGGGCTTAGGGGTTTTGGGCCTCGGAAACCCTAGAGCATTAGAATGGTCTTGGTTGGTTTAGGGAACCTTAAACCCTCAACCCCTTTGGCTTGGCGTCTATAGGCTGGCGGATTCGATGTTAGGCATTCTGAGGGCACGAAGCATCGGGTTTCGGGCTTAATTAGGGGTTTCGGGGGGTCGGGATCGCAATAACGACAGACGGGTCGCAGTTTCAACCTATACCTGGGCTCTACCAAAACTACCTTTTAGGGCTCTTTCTTATGATGTCGTTCTGTGTGTCCTTACAAATGTAGGGGTAGCAACCCGATTCAGAAACCCCGGCCCTATAACCCCAAAATAGTAGGATACATATAAAGAACCCCGAAAAAGGGCCCAGGGTTTCTGAATCAGGTTGCGGCAGTAGCTTACGTGGGGTTAAAGTAGGCCCTGACTGTCGGGGATGCCCTAAACCCTAAACCCTAAACCCTAAACCCTTAACCCTAAACCCATTTCGGAGATGCCCTTCGCTGCCATCGCGGCACATCCACGATGACGTACATCCCGAGGTTATGCGCAGTGGTTGTCAGCTTGCGCAGCTCCTGCTGCAAGGTTGAAGACTGGCTTTCGCGTCTTGTTCTTGTTGCTAATGCTATTGTTACTTTTCTAGCCCTGATTATTCGTATATTCTTATCATTCTGATAATTCGTCTTTGTTTCTTCTTATTATTATGATTATTGTTATAAAGATTTGTATTATTGCGGGGGCTTTTATTCGTGTTAACCGTCCTGATTATTACAATCATTAACATCGTTGTTATACTACCCGATGTCAGGGTCTGGGAAGCTTCGGCGCTTCAGGACTCTCGTGCTTCAGGTCTACGAGTCAGCTATAGGTTTAGAGTGTTGAAGTCCTCCAGCGTCCCAAGCCGCATATCGAGGGTGGTGAAGTCCAACTGAGCATACCTCAGAACTAAGACTGGGCTTCAGAACGTTGGGGATTGGGACACTCATTTCACCTCACAAACCCTAAGCCAAAAAACCGGAGCCGAACATGCCATCCTCAGCAGTGTTGGGTTGCCGGCGTGCGGATGGTCAGGTCTGCTGCTTGGGGTTTAGTGCGCCATAAGTAAAGCCCGGAGCTTGGCCGTGTTCAGGCCTCTACCCGAATGGTTTGAGAAATATATAGGGGGACTGTACAGGAATCGCGCTAGCACAGATCTTGCGTTTCGCAATGAAACAGCGCACCCCACTCTCAAACTCTGTTGACAGCAAGTACGACCAGATACCTATGTTCAGGGTACGTGACTCGTCGATCCATACACGTCCATACCATATGGATCGTACGTGTAGGCTAGTCTATATCTTCGCGCCTTACTCCCGAGCCGAGACGCTGATGGTAGCTGTTGAAACCTCGGCCGCGCTGACAGAACGGGCACTGAGAGACTTAAGATTGAAGTTCTATGTCTCAAACGTAGCGATAGTCTCCATTGCAGTTCTTTTTTGGCTTACCTTAATTCAACGAAAAAAGCACTGTAATTGAGACTATAGGCAGGCCGAAGAGGATCAAAGCACTGCCGGCACCGGCTCACCGCAAGAGACTCTTCTAAAGGGAAGTCTACTTACCTATAGTCTCCATTGTAGTTCCTTTTTTTGGTTTAACCAATTATATATTAAGGATTCTATAAGGTATCCCCAAAAAGGAACTACAATGGAGACTCTAGGTATAGCTCAAGAGTAGTCGTAGTTGGGACACTATCCAGCTCTGTCTGTCGGGTCAGCAGGGGGACGAAAGGCCTGCGACTTCATGCGGCTGGCTACACAATACTCATGAAGGATCCGGTCTTGGCAAGAGAGACGACTGAGCCACCAAGTCCCCAAACCCTAACCCCCACCTTTGTATACGGGACATTATGCAACTTTGTATACCTTGTTACAGGTGTGCATGCAAACAGATGGAAGATACTGGAAGTATGTTGACGCATGTATGTACGTACGCATGTTTGCGAGTACTTTTCTACATATGCACACGGTGCTTTTTATCTGCTTTTGTACATGTATATACATACATATATGTATGTGTATATATATATATACAAACCCGAGACCCTAAACCCTAAACCCTCAATATATATATATATATATGTATAATATATATATATATATATAGATGTAAATAAACTCGAAACCCTAAACCCTAAACCCTAACTATATATATATATATATGTATATGATATGATCCCTCAAGGCTGAGCTTCGGGCCGTTCTGGAACACCGGGGAGATCCAAACCCCCCGACAACCAAGGCCTGCCCGAGCTGTCGACTTAAATGGGAGCTCCCGAAAACAAGGGGTTTAGGGTTTAGGGTTTAGGGTCTAAGGTTTAAGGTTGAGGGTTTAGGGTCTAAGGTTTAAGGTTTAGGGTTTAGGGTCTAAGGTTTAAGGTTTGGAGTTTCCGAAAACAAGGGGTACCTTAGATTGGGGTCCTGATAATAAGGATCCTATTATTTAGGGTTTAGGGTTTAGGGCTTAGGGGTACCTTAAATGGGGTCCTTATATGTAATTAGAATAAGGATTAGGGTTTAGGGTTTAGGGTTTAGAGTTTCCGAAAACAAGGGGTACCTTAGAATTGGGGTCCTTACAACAAGGATTCTATTACCTATTATTTAGGGTTTAGGGTTTAGGGATTGGGGTCCTTATAATAAGGATAAGGATCCTATCACTTAGGGTACTATCTTAGGGTCCCCTATCTTCGGAAACCCCCAAATCTTGGCGTCAGCGCCAATTAGTTCTGTTGCAGGGTGTAGGGTTTAGGGTTTTTAGCCAGAAGAGGTTCGGATTTATGTCGTTTAAACGTAGATGTCCCTGGTGCTTTCAACGCTTCTGACGGTTTACGGTGCGGCGAGTCTGGAGTTTAGGTGTTGCATGATGTGAGTTTGATGGTTCAGGGCTTAGGGTTTAGGGTTAGGGTTCAGGGTTTAGAGTGAGTTCGTGGGCACAATACGTGACTCGAAGTAGGATGCGTGGAGAAGCTGTATCGAACATGTAACCGCATCTATTATGCTGTCGTTCACCTTAGGAATGTCTTGCGAAGCTCAAAGCGTAGAGGTTTAGCGTTGAAGATTCTGGCAGGATCGGCGCTGCAAGAGACTTGCTTTTGGGCAACCCCCCCCAGATTGACAGCTCCCCTCACTAGGGCTCGGTTGGGGCTTTGGGCAGTTCTGCAGGTTTATCCCAAAGGCTCCATGTACCTTTATAGTAGATACTTAGGCCTTAAAGGGGTCCCTATATAGGTACTTTAAGGCCTAAGTATGTACTATATGGGTACATGGAGCTTTAGGGTATGCTGCAGGCTGAGGTCCCAGTGCTATCTTCTCTGCAGCCTTTGGCTGTGGCTCAGCCTGAAATCCTGGCCCCATCACGAGCATGAGGCTCCCGGTCTTGCCTAGGTGGTCACAGGTTTAATTAGGGTTTAGGGTCTAAGGTTTAGGGTTTCGGGTTCAAGGTTTATAGGGTATAATTCGGGTTTAGGGTCTAAGGCTTAGGGTTTCGGGCTCAAGGTTTATAGGGTATAATTAGGGTTTAGGGTCTATGGTTTAGGGTTTCGGGTTTAAGGTTTATAGGGTTTGGGGTTTAAATCATGGACTCAGGATCCTGCGTGTCATGTTTTCGGGCTTCTCGAAGGCGAGAGGCATCCGCTCTAAGAAAAACGGGGATGAAGACATGAATTTCCAAATCATGGGACCCCTCTGTGGGGATCCTGCGTGTCGTGGTTTGGGGCTTGAAAGAAGTGAGAGGTGTCCACGCTCGCAACAAACGATGTATCGTCCACTTCGATGTCTATTGCATGCAACCGACAAAGCTCACAATTCGCAACCCTTATCGAGCATCGTCGGTTTTATTTGGATAACGCTTTCAAAGGCGACATTGCACTCCGCAATTAAGAACAAGTATCGTGCACACCAAGTAGCCTTAGCCCCGAAAGTCCTAATTGTATCACAAGGAACATACAGTCACCTCGATCCCTGTCGGTATCTCGCTTCCAGGCATCGTCATGCCCACCCCCACCACAGACAGGATATTTGTAATAGGATCCGGGGACTAATTCCGTAGGGCTGTGTATGAGGGAGTTGTACTTCACCTACTTACAACCCCAATTCGGTTGGTTGGAATACCCGTGACCCATCAAGAATGAGCCCCCAGCTGACACAAGCCTAAACCGCCAGCCGTCTGCAACTTGGCCCCTAAACCCTAAACCATAAACCCATGCTGCCTTTGATGTAGTGAAGCTTCTGCGTCAACCCGACAAAATCTCCTCCTGCGACGCGACACAACATCGGTGTTTCGGGTGTGCCTAAAGTCATTACAACTTATCTCCCACAGCGTCCTAAGTAATAGTAGCTATATAGTAGAATGTAGGGTTTCTGTATCAGGAATAAATATGACAATTTGGGAAAGTATCCCCCATAGCAGTAGCCAGGACCCTTCGGGTGTTAGCACATTATAGTACATGAAAGTAGACCATAGCCTATACCTCTCGGTTGTCGTTCAAGTTAGGGGTGACCTTCCAGGATCCTTTATGTACAATGGGTTAAGCCAAATACAGGAACTACAATGGATATTATAGGGTTTAGGGTTTAGGGTACGTGCCCTAAACCCTAAACCCTAAACCCGAAACCCTTACCCCAAACCCTAAGCCGTAGAGAGGGGAGAGCGGGGGGACTCGGAGTGGGGCTGGGGAATTCTCCAGCTCACAGGAATGTGTTATTAAACCCTTACTGTAGGGGCCTTAAGAACTAGAACAGGGTTTCGCGGTATATATTATAGTATACTTAGAAAAGGGAACCTCCAAAATAGTATAGCTAATTCTTAGGCCCCTACATTAACCCTGAGCCCTAAACCCTTCGGATTCAGGTTCATTTCTTCATGCAGGCCTTGCACGGGGTTTAGGGTTTAGGGTCTTGGGTTTAGGGGCTTAGGCCAGGATCAGAGGTTTAGAGACCTGCTGCTCGCAAAATTACGCTCCAACTAAGCAGGAAAGAGCCAACTCCAAGTATACCAACAACAAGAAGCCGGGCACGGGTACACAAAACTTTACAGCATAAGCTTGAATCGAGGAGGCCTCAGCCAAGCTACATCTGGTAAGCCAGGATCCAGCTTAGGGTTGAGACCGCAGGGTTGAGACAAGGCAGCCAAACAGTTCTATCATACCAGATAACCCTTACACAGTCGAACCTTACACCCTGAACCATAAACCATCATCGGTGTTTACCAAATTGGGTGTTCAGGGTCTTGAGGCCAATCAGCAAAGCATGCGGACTGACATATAATCCCAGTCCGTGGCGGAAGGTCATGTCGCGGACGTCGAACCCGCCGTCGAAAAGCTCATTGTTCCTGCCACAGCTACCGTCTAGGCTTTGGGGCATCCAAGGTGCAATTAGAGAAGGGTGCGGGGAGTTCGAAAGCAAACACCATCTTGCATTGCCAAGTCAGCGCTGATCGAACCAATTTTCTGTTCGAAGGCACCCCGCGGCAAAACAACTTGTATGGAAAGATTGACAGATAGATAGATAGATTGGTTGATTGGTTGATAGATGGATAGATGGATAGATGGATAGTTGGATAAACGGATAGCTGGATAGCTGCACAGCTGGATAGATGGATAGGTGGATAGATGGATAGATGTATAGATGGATAGATGGATAGATGGATAGATAGATGGATAGATGGATAGATGGATGATTGGATAGATGGACAGATAGACAGATAGACTAGATAGACAGACAGATAAATAGATAAGGGCCAGGGATAGGGGCGTTACCGATTTCCAGAGGACTTTGGGGTAACAGTCTCGCTATAAACGGAACAAAGAGGTGTACGATTACTAACTACTCCAACCTGTATATTCGTCTCCATGTCTGAAACCAGAAAATCTTCTGCCCCGCCAACTTGTATGTATTACTATCGAATATCGCTTGAGCATGCCCTGCAGAGCACCCCACCCCAAAATGTAGTTATCTCTGGAAAGCAAATATCTCGGCCCAATCCTTCTCGGGGCAGCTAATCTTTGGTCATTTTCGAATAGTGCTTTTGCAAAGCTCAGATACATTTCGGAAAACCCATAACTCAGCAAGAAGACACCTCAATTTGGAACAGCCTCCACCCTCAAGCCCCTTAGAGAATGGCCACCACTTGCCGACTTGCCTGGGATCGCCATCGGCGAAACCTCGGCGCGGTTTCATAAGAGAGAAGCTTACCATCCAAACTCCGAGAATGTAGGGCGTAGGGTCTCCTGACCTGCAATGGCTGATCCGTGTCAGGGTCAGAGTGTTGGCTTCAGGAGACCCGGGTCTGGCCTCAAAGGCCCAACTAGAAACTGAGTAGTTCCTTTTTTTTGGTTTAACTAATTATAGATTAAGGATTCTATAAGGTATCCCCCAAAAGGAGCTACAATGGAGACTGTAGGTAGGGTCTGGAAGTACAGTCAGATAATCAAGAACGGAAGTTGGAGAGGAAACTTCTCCGCGAGACACTTACAACCCAAAGGACTAGCAGCACTACCCTAAGGCTCCATGTACCCATACAGTACATACTTAGGCCTTAACGTACCTATATAGGGACCCCTTTAAGGCCTAAGTATCTACTATAAAGGTACATGGAGCCTTTGGGCTAGCAGCACTACCTAGACAAGATTCCATACCCAAGTTACCCTAAACCCTAAACCCTAAACCCTAAACCCTACACCCAACATCCTAGGCCCCACGCCAGGGCTTGGTCTGCTGAATGGCCAAACCTAAACCCGAAACCTGGAACCCTAAACCCTAAGCCGTAAACCCTAAGCCCTAAACCCTAAACCCTAGGCCCTAAACCCTATGTAAGCCCTGCACCCTAAACCCTAAGCCCTAAACCCTAAACCCTAAGCCCTGAACCCTAAACCCTATGTAAACCCTAAACCCTAAGCCCTAAATGCATAACCCATACTTTCGGGATTCGGCTTCGTCCCCATGTGAGGGTTTAGGGAACCCTGAGACGCCAAGATGGCGAGCTACTAAGGGTATATTTAGGGTTTTGGTTTTGGTTTAGGGCTTTAGGGTTTCAGGTATATTTAGGGCTTAGGGTTTAGGGCTTTAGGGTTTTAGGTATGGGTCTTGGTTTAGGGCTTTAGAGTTTTAGGTATATTTAGGGTTTAGGGTTTAGGGCCTAGTTGTCTTTGCTGTATGTTTGTTGCTATGAAGGACTCTATTTCCCTGAGTCGCAGCCTTAGGCACCTCCTTTCGGATCCGGGGTTTGGGGAGCAAGAGGCTATGCCCTGAACTTCTGCCCTGAACCTTTGGCCCAGACTCGTTGGGGCTGGTGGTAAAGGGTTTTCGGGCTTTGTTCTTTAAAAACAAGGGCTTTGGGTTTAGGGTTTTGGGTTTCGGATTTGGGGTTTAGGGTTTCGGGTTTAGGTCTGGGAAAACTTGGCTACTGTATTCGTCGTCAAGTGCTTGAAATCTCTGCTTCGAAGCGTAGGGCGCTTGGGTTACAGCCTGCTCCTGGAGGCCGCCGGTGCTGAGGTTTTCTTAGGGCTTAGGGCTTTAGGGTTTCAGGTTTTCAGAGTTGTAGGGTTTTAGGTTTAGGGTTTCAGGGTTTAGGGTTTAGGGCCTGCTCTTGGCAGCAGCCTATGAAGCTAAACCCTAAACCCTAAACCCTAAACCCTAATCAGAGTTGGCAGCTCTGGTTGTTGTCCAAGGCACGATCAGTGATGAGCTGGTAAATGGAGAATGCCCGCCAATCCTCTCTAAGATGCCGCTGAGCGGTTTAGGGTTTAGGGTTTAGGGTTTAGGTTTCGGGCTCGACATCAACAAGGCGACAGCCGAAATGTTTACTTTAACTTCATGAGCCCTTCGGGAGAGAAGGACGACATGCCAACTTCAAAGAGGACCGAAACCCCAAAACCTTGAGCCCTAGAGGACTAAACCCGGCCGGCTTTACGAACATCGACATGGATATTTTTCAGTTCTACAAACTACCTATAGTCTCCATTGTAGCTTGATCTTTGCAAATAGGGTTTGGGTAGGGTTTAGGGCTTTTGGTTTAAGGTTTAGGGTAACTAGAGTCTCCATTGCAGCTTGCTTCTATGTTCATAGCGTTTAGGGCTTAAGGTTTAGGGTTCGCTTATATCTTGGATCCTATAAGGTATAACCCCAAAAAGGAATCTCCACGGAGATTACAGGCAAATTCAAAACTGCCCGAATCCCGAAACCCCAAACCGCATGGCAAGCTGAAGGGAGCCCTACACTTAAAAACTCTACCTTATATAACCCACCAGAACCGAATTTTTTGTGGGGTCCTAAGAATTCCATATGAGGGCTTATAATAAGAACCTACAAAAATGTGGGTTTCGGTAGGTTAAGGTACAGGCCTCGGCTAGGAGGTAAATCGCGGGGGTAGAAGGGCATACGTATAAGTATCTGGACTTAAGCTCCCTTGCAACCGTCATAAACATCGGATTACAAAACCTTAACCCTGCAAGCCCTAAACCCTCAACCCTAAACCCTGAACCCTAAACCCTAAACCCTATATAAACCCTGAAAGGCATTCCTCAGAGCACTACGGTGGATTGGACCCCCAAGCAGACAGTACAGCTCCGAGTTGCTCTCCTGGATTCGGCACGACTACGCCGTGCGCTTGCACTGCTTCGAAGGGCACCGCAGTCCGGGCCGTTCTTGCCTTTCTAGTTAGGTTCTCCATGGAGCATTCCGGCATAGCGCGCTAGAAGTCGAATTCGCTGTGAAAACCTTGCACTTGATGAACAGCTTTGGGATCACGGTTCGAGGATTCTTGCTGTAGATCACGTCAGCAGTGAAAGAAGACCTCCTCCTCACCCGCTCGCCTCTTCCCCCTCCCATGGAGAGCTCCAGGGAAAGGGGGTTCGAGGCTGCTGGCTCCTGCCACCCCTCCAAAGGGAGCCGAGATGCGGCTCGTTTGATCATCTTTAACTTTGCTGGCCACCAGCTTCTGACTTCGGGGACGACTAGCGAAGGTGTAGAACTTGTCTTGGTGCAGTGTATCAGGCTTCCAGATAGGATGCCGACTACCCTAAACTCCAGTACCCCTGGCTTCAAGATTTCGGACTAATTACGGCACCCCTAAACCCGAAATACCCCGCCCAGACTACGCGAATCTACCATGTGATGGTGCTTCAAATCCGCTATTTGAGATTCGTGGGCGCCCCAGCCTACATGAAGCTGGAATTCGCTGGCCGGCCCACATCTTCACTAGGCCCTGTATTGCCGAAGCTGATAGAAGCTCCGAAACAAACACATGGAACAAAAGGTCTGCGTTTGGAAGGATGCTGACCTAGGCACGGGTAAAGCCGAAGGCTTGCCTACACCATAAGCCCGAAACCCTGAAGTCCAAACCCCAACCCGGCACGCTTAACCTCGAACCTCTAACTCTATAACTAAGCCTCTACCGGGACCGTTTAGAACCTCCCTTCTTTTTGGGTTCCTTACTATGATTTCCTTATATAGGTCCTTAAAAACCCTAAACCCTAAACCCTAAAAGGTAAGTTCTTTGGGGTCTTGGTAAGCCCCAACCTCTGAACCCGAAACCCCAGGCACAGGCCACCCTGAGGCGAACCCTGAACCCTAAACCTAAACCCTAAACTCCTAACCTCCTAAACCCTAAAATCCCAAACTCTAAATCCTAAACCCGTAAACTCCTAAACCCTAAATCCTGAACCCTACATCCTAAACCCTAAACCCTAAACCGTAGACCCTAAACCCTAAACCCTAAACCTCAAAACCCTAAACCCTAGACCCTAAAAGGAGGAAGCACCGGGTCCTCTCCGAAGGTGTCTGAT